TTTGTCTATGTCATTTCATTTTACAAGAGATGTGATTGTAAGTCAATAAAACCAAGTACAGAAGAGTAGTTCATTAAGGTTTCTTTTTATTAGTTAAATTAAAATTCAAGTAACATGCAGTTTGTTATTAAAGTTAAATTGGAGACACTGAGGTATATATAACAAAATTGTACAAAAATATAATTAAGCCCATAATTTGTGGGTGTTGAATTTATGTTTTATTTTAAAACATACACCATACTCTTTGCATCAGCTCTCTTTATTGGTCATTTAATCATACAGACTGAAATGCTCATTTCTATTGAAGGAATGGCCAACAATATTAGGCTTCAATACAGTTTTGCCGTAAGAAACAACACTGCAATAATGCATGTATTTCTGTACCTTTACAAAACAAAGAACCAAAACACAGTTTTACAGGAGGTGGTGTGCTAGTGTGCTTTCCGCATTTATAATGAAAAAAATACATGATAAACCAACAACAGGAAGAAAAGAGGGAGAATCTGATCAAAATACCTTGCAGGTAATTTTCAAATGATTAATAAAAATATCAAAAGCAAGCAAAGCCTCATAAATAATATGTAAAAACTTATTTTCTGGACTGGATAGATGGCTTGGCAGTGCAGAGTACTGACTACTCTTGTAGAGGCAGGAGGACCTCTGTTCAAGCCAGCCTGGTTGACATAGCAAGTGCCAGGCCAGCTGGGGCTACAGGGAGACCCTGTCTCTAAAAGACCAAAAAAAATTTGTAAAACCAAACATGTTCTGTAAAGTGCAATGGAAACTGCTATGGTGATAATGACATTATTTGAACTTTGGCAGGGACACTATCACCAAAATAAGTTAAATATTGTAACTTCTAACAAAGAATGCTGTGATGAAAAATGTCCCCTATGATCTCAAATATTGAACACTGTGCCCCTAGTTAGTGGTGCTTTTTTGGGAGGTTTAGGAGATGCCACCATGTTGGAGGAAGTGTTTCAGAGGTTGTGGGTTTTGAGAGTTTATAGCCTTACCCCATTTCCACTTTAATTTCTGCTTCATGTTTGCACTTTAAGATAACATGTCCAGCCTTTGGCTCCTGCCTCCATGCCTGCTATTTACTGCAGTGATTCTCTGCCAGTGTACTAGCTACTTTTCTTTTCCCTTGAATAAAGCATAATCACCAAGGCAGCTTATACAAGGCGTATGGTTACAGCGATAAAAAGAATGCATCACGACCAAGTAGACCTCTCAGGAGGCAGCCACAGCTGAAACCCGAGCACTCACATCTTCAAGCAGGCACAGGAAGCAAAGGGAAATAAATTGGAAATGGGACAAGTGTATGAATTCTCAAAGTTCACCCCAGTGACTTGTTTCCTTTAGTGTGGATACACATTTTAACCTCTGTAAGACAGTGCTACCAACTATGGCCAAATCATCAAATACTTGGAATCTCTGGGGGACATTTTCATTCAAATATCTCCAGTCATGGTGGACTCATCTCTCTTCAACCATGTGGCCAAATAACTTCTTTTCATAACATGCTTTGGTCATGGTGCTTTATCACAACAGAAAAGTAACTAATACTGAAGTTGATGCCAGAAGTGGGGCATTGCTGTGAAGAAACTGTGTTCTTGAAAGGATGTAGCAGTTACTTTGGACTACAAAAGTTGTTGAATGCCGTAAATAGAGCTTGATGGGCTATTCTAATCAAAACCTGGTTCAAAATGTTCAGAGTGACAGGGAAACAAAGACTTAAATAGCAACCAGTCTACAGGCCATTATACTTCAGCAAATAATCTGGTTACCATCTGCCAGAGTCCTTAGAACTCCTGTGAAGCTAAATTAAAATGCAGTCAACTAAATTTTTGGTAGACAACATTTCAAGATACCCTAATACTGGGCATCTTATAGTGATGACTCATACAGATCTATGATGAGAAAGAGCTAGTCGCTCAAGAAGACATGCAAAATGTACCGTTTGGGGTAGAAAAGAGTATCAATTATATTATTGAAGTCAAGTCTTGTGAAGCAAAAGAAGCTTTAATTTTTAGGGAGATTAAGGAAATGTCTACTCAGCAACAATGGAGAGGATGAGTTCAGGATTACACTCCATCCAGGTAAGCTTGAGAAAGCAGAAAGTCTAATGCATTTTCTGCTTCTAGAAAACCACAAAGTACAGAAACTGCTTCAAATTTGATTCAGTAAGGTGAATATGCATCTGAAGCTGACAGCCAAACTTGACAGTGATGTTCTGATGATACTGGGTTTGGAGGCATGAAGGGTTTAACAGTGAGGGAATACTGGAGTCCTCTCCCATGGATTCAGACAGCAGCTGAGACCATACGGTGTTCACCACTGTTGGAGTCACTAAGAGAAGGCCATGAAAGGCAAGGAGGGCAGAAAGGAGCATTGCATGAATCTGTGAATGTGAGGCCTCGGTTGCATTGGAGACGCCAATCTTTTTGAATGTATGTTATCTGTGAGACACCTGTCAAGGAGAACACTGTATGGGAACTTGAACCAGGGCAAAACAAAGATGTATCCTGTACGCAGCAAAGCTAGAAAAACAAAGCCATCTGAGCCCTTAGTCCTAAAGCCCTAGTATTGGACACAGAGCTACAGGATTTACTCTTTGTCCTGGTGGTTATATGAACTGGTTTGCTTGCATATTTTCTCATTATGTCCCTATTCCATTTTTGAATGGAATGTACATTTGGCTCCATTGTATTTTGGAAATATGCAATCTGCTTTATTATTTTGCAGATGGTAAAACGAGATTACATCGAGTCTCAGAATAAACTTTGGATGTTCGACTTTTGAACAGGGGTCAGCGGTCTCACCCCAGGTCCATTCTGACTGGCCATTCTGTCCTTGAGTATGCCTGGGTGCTGCTGCTGCTGCACGTTCCCCACACAACATGCTACCTGCCGCTCCCGGCTTCCATTCCAAGGTGGCTCTCAGCAGCCTCTCAGTAGTTCTTCCCACATGGCAGGCCCTGCCTTCAGAGGAATCAGCCACCTGGGGGACATATCAACAAATCATTTTCTTTATATTTCATATTTTGAAACCTTCAATAAATTCCCAACATTGGATAAATTGTACCTGTACTATAAGTAAATAGAAGTTCTTCCCCAATGAAATAAATTTGTTTGATGAAATACTGTCTTTGTAGTACAAATTGTTTAAGATGAGATTCTGATATACCATGTGTACCTCAATCAATATATTTTAAGAACTAAAACTTGTATGTCATTCACATACATTACAAATAATAATATGTCAATTCTGTGTGAAAATAATAGATTTTTAATGTAAACAAAAACTAAATTTGCTGATAAGAATTATATTAATGAAACTTTCTATATTGAAAGAATAGATTAAAAATCATGTCTTAGTCTGTAAATATACATGCCGCAAGCCACGACTCCGTCCAGCAGAGCCAAGGAAAGGACACAGACACCAAGGTGAGGTTCAAGCTTCTTCTCCCTCTCCCTCTCACTCTCTCTCTATTACATACTTCAGCTCTTCATATAGCATTCCCAACAGCCCTCCCCCCAGCCAGGACCAATCAGGGCACACACACATGTAGTGGGCAGGCAGAGTGGCAGCTTATTGGGCCACGTAGCAGGATCATACTCGATGATGTCTCTGATCAAGCAGGCAGCACATGATCGGGCTTATTGTGCTTGCGCAGGTTGGAGTAAACAAGTGAGGGGAACGAGGCCTGGCAGCCAGCCAGGGCGCCATCTTGGCCACCTCGACCGCGCCTGCTTCCCACATCTCCCCCTTTTTGTTTAATTAAAACCAAGGGAGGCCAAGGGACCGTGCCTGACTTAGGTTGCCCTCTTTCATTTAGCATCCTTACCCGTCATCAACTCGGCAACATCATGGTTGTCGGTCTGCCTTAGGTTGGTATGCGAATGAGAGGGTCTTACCTGTCATTGACTACCAGTCCAGCATATTTAGCCAAATGGAGGGAAATCCTCCTGCTTCCAGCGCTGCCATAGCTTGGACGAGCATTTGCCGTTGGGCCACTGTCTGCCGCCGCATACACATCATGCACCACAGCATACCTCCACATGCCGCAACCAAAAGGAACCCCCAAAAAGCCATGCCCCCCAATTTTTGAGGAGGCTAAAGGTGCCCTGCATAGCCTTCAGCCACTGCTGCACAGTG